TCAGAAAAGTGAAAATTCCAGGAGGCGGCTAGGACTTAAGAATGAACCATTTCCATCTTACTCACAGACCCCTATCGACCGCCACCATCAGGTCACCCTGAAGTTGCAGCTGGCTACATGTACGCCATGGGCAGAATAAGGCTAGACAGAGAAGACTATTGATTGTCCAGAGCAAGTCTGTAGATTGCCTAGAGCAAATACCGTAGACGTAGTACAATCTGTTAGTTGTTAGCAAACAAGGTAGCGTTGTATTATTAAAGCTCCTTACAGCCACGAAATGGGAATATTTCTTGGCAAATCATTCGGTGGGGTCGGCTGTGCTCTCTTTTAATCCGCCTTGTCTCGGCTCTGGGCAACAATCTTCCCTCTCAGTCTTAAACATGGAACATAATTTCCCCAACTAAAACTCGAATCTCACTGCAATTAAAAATGTCAGCACGGTCCATAATCTGTTGAATGCACGTTAAACTCACTCTAATTGCTTTTGTAGCTCGAGGCTCAATGCCGTCCGGAGAAGCTCCAGGGATATCAGCGCAGTGTACGCCGGCTGGTAGGAGATTTGCGTCTGAAGCATCTCGGAATTAATCCTATGGAGATGTCTCACTAGCGGAAATGATTCCGACACAGTGAGAAAGGGCGGCAACGGCTTAGCGTGTGTGAGAGATGAGGCGAGGTGGCAGAACAACGACGTCGTGGATTGGGACTGGAAGCCGGTTGAAGCCCAAGCCACTGCTAATTGGCTCGATGGCAAATCTGAAGGTTCCGTAGCATCTCCCAATTGTTGAAAAGACGGTGCTGGCATGGTTTGAGCAATATGCGCCATCAGCGACATGATGGTCAAGATGCGTTGCATGCCAGCCGTCAATTTTGCGTAGATCGCGCTTGGGAACTTGCCTCCGATGGGCGGCTCGTATGTTGCGAAATGGGTATGCATGCGTAGTCCGTTCAATGCCAAAAGCTCCTGCTTGTACAAATCCCGAAGCACGCCATGCAAGCGGTCATCTTCCTGGCCCAGGACCCGCGGGCTTTGTTGATCTTGATCTTGGTGAATCCATCGATCTACCGCGGTATGCATGGCACTGTAAAATCTAGCAAGATTGAAGAGACTACCGCCAGCAAGTCGCGGTACATTGGACTTTGCCGTAATGGGATATGGAAATATGGTCCAGAAGAATGAGACGGCACATCCCACTGCGACGGCTGCTAGTTTGTAGGGGCCAAAGAGGTAAATCGGGTAATATGGCTGTCCATTTGACTCGGCGACATCGGTGCCGATTGCTTTGACCTGGAAGAGAGTAAGGAGAGAATCAATGGAATCATGCTGGGATTTGAATTCACCTGAAGTTCATACGCGATGATAATGTTTAGCGTGACAATGGCAATAATGGAAGGGCCAAACAGATGGGGTTTCTTCACGTAGGTGTAAAACTAAGCAGGGTAAGCAAATATCCAAGCACGCACCAAAGTCTAGGTAGCTTAAGACGACGACTTACTTCGATGACATTGGCCAGGTAAAGAAACACTATGACACCAGCAGTCTTACCAACAACGATATACCATGCGATAAGACTCAAGGCGACAGACACAACCGTAGCCAAGATGCGAGCGAAAAATCCAAAGAATGACTGGCCACTGGTAGGACTCATGCCGATGACAACGACAATCGTGGCCCAGACACCTCGTTGATGGACGAAAAAGTCGTGTGATTGCCGCAGAAATGCCACAATACCAATACTGAGCGATGCAGCGGCGACTCGAAGGCCAAACATGCTCAGATCTGAGCCGATGAGGTGCGAAACAGAGCGAAACCAGTCACTGCCTCGCTCCAGAAAGTTGGCCGGTTTCAAATGCACCAAGTCGACGACTTCAAGTCCTTGGACTTCCCTCGCCGTGTCTCGTTGTTCTTTGGGCTGTGCCGGAGCTTCTTTTGTAGTTGAAGAAGACATACGCGACCGCTTGGGATGGAGGGCCGCAGGGATGATGAGACGCGATTGCTTCATCGTATTGTCGTCCGTCTTTCTCTTGGCGAAACGAATGAGGTTGAGGGTTGCATCGAGAACCATAGTCTGAAGACTGAACAAGTACAGCACCAGCAGGAAATCTTGCTGAATGATCATATCCCTGTCAATGGGCTGGGTGGTCTCTGACGTGCCGCCATCGCTTGCAGGCTGAGAAGGAGGAGTAGACGTCTGGACAAGGAAGGTGTCGGGGCGAAGATTTTGCTGTGCCACGGACATTTCATGGATCTTAAGCCCAAATGCATTGACAAAGTCTGGAGATGACGGATCCAGCTCCATCGGCATCGGTTCTTCGGTGCAGGCCTCTGAGTCGGCTGGTTTCTTGGTCCCAGTCTCTGCAAGCTCCAATTGGAGCAAGAAATATTGTAGACCAGTGCTGACCAGGGTTTGTGTGTCCCCGAGGCATTCCGATAAGGCGTCAATGATGCCATGATCAATGGGCCCTTGGCCCTCAATAGTTGGCCCGTCATCTGTTGGATGTATCCGTGACTCTGCTTCTGTAAAACTGTTGACTATGTTCGGAAGAAGCGACATGCCAGACAAAGGGAGCAACACGCCTCTCAGAAGCATCGAAATATCGTCCAAGTCAGCAGCGGAAAGCTTGCCCCAAGCCACTTCGTCCCTGGAGTACTTCAAGCCGGCTTGGATATTTGCATCAAGCGTGTTTAGAGTATCTGAAGCTTTGGTCAAGCGACTTCGAGCTTTGGCAAATCTGACCTCCGACGGCAACTCGTTGTCATCCTGTGACGACACATCATCTTCCGAGACTATGTGGGTTTTTTGACGCGTAAGGAAACTTGTTCTTGATGCCGTGTTAACGAACTCGGTTAGTGCATGGAGAACCGCATTTGTCTCGTGGACGAAATTGCGGATGTCTTTGCAGACGCCCTGGCGGCACGTCCTGGGAAGAATCAATAGTGAGACTCCAGTGGGAATTGCGAATCCGATGAGGAACGTCTTGATAAGACGGACGACGAAATTGAGACCCTCGTCAACAGTGGTCCAGTTGCCAGCCCGGGTAAGGGCCACCAACGAAAAGATGGATGATGTGACTATTGGATCCTGGAGCTCAACCCTGCGCCAGGCTCGCAGGGCATTACCGACCCTAATGGGGTCTGTCAGCGCAAGTTTCCATAACGGACTAAAAGACTGACCAGATTATTACAAAAAGCCAGATTGCAGCGACTGCCGATGCGCTGCCGTCATATTGATCGGGGGTTGCATTGTTGCTGGGATGGCGCGCCTTGACGGCGGAATAAATGGCTAAACAGGTAATGGATGCCGTGACGCACAAGGAGAGCAGGCAAAAGAACATGACTTTGATAAATTTGGCACGCGGTTGAAGACATTGTGCAGAGACGGCGATTAGAGCAGCCAAGTAACCGGTGGTCGTGGTGACATCTGTGATGGCGTGGCTCTGGGAACTGGGAATAGTTAGGGACCAGCGTCAATAGGCTAGTTGCACTTCTGCTGCTACTGACATTGCAATGACAATCGTAGGGGCAAGTGCGCCCTTCATCATCATGAGCAAGGACTCGGTGTCCATCTCGAGGTATCGCCACCACGTCTTTGGACTCGTCCATCTTCGGAATTGCCATCAGCCGAGTGCTCCGTCACGGAGGAGTAAGTATGACGTCAAGGAAGAGAACATACCTCCGGAGCCGAGACCCACTCATGTCCTGATGCCTGAACATCGTGATGAAGCTATTGCCGTCACCAGCAAATGCGTGACGAGATTGCGATGCCTAACAAAGGGCAAGAAGTGGAAATATGGAAAAGTTCGATCGATGAACCCCCACGAACGTTTCCGGAAAGGAATGCACCTCCCTGGTCCGCTGGGTCCTCGACCACATGATGTTACGGCGACTAGACCAGAAGAGGTTATGCCGGGCCCGCTAAACCCATTCTAATTCCCGGTATCGGCAGTCGAACCATGATAAGAGGCTGATTAACTGGGGTTCGTAGGCGGGATCCGGGAAGTCGTAACATAACCCACCTGGCGGGGTGAGGTTTGATGGGTACGAGTTCTTCAAGGGGCAAATCAGTCGTGGCTTCCGTGGCGAGCGTCGCGGTCAAGATGGAGAGCGCCTTGAGTTCTTGTGTCTTGACTATCCCAGCAATCCTCGACGATTTCTTAGCAACAACTTCGACGTGGCTTCATAGATCTTACAGCGTGCCGTGTCTTAGATCCGTCTGATGTTTGAAATATGACCTCTGCGTTGTATTGGATAGAGGAGGCCAGATATTTAGAGGACCTCAATTAGGTCCACAGTCGTCCTATAGAGTACAGTTGGAACATATACCTGCGTGCCAGAGGCAACTAGTTGTGATTAAGCTGATTTTATCACAAGGGGTGATACATGCCCGGATCTGGCAGCTTTCAATATGATAGGTGATACTGTACGACAACGGAAAGTGACGATGCAGAGCCTATCACTACTAAGGTATTCCCGATCATTACGGATGCCAAAAATAATATGGCTAGTAGCCACCAAGCTATCTGATGCATAATGTTTTTTTCTTGATCCAGCAACTGCCATTGACACCACGGAAGATGAACGGATTAAAGCTGGGCCAAATCGGCGCGTTTTTATCCATGAAGCAGCTGGCAGACATCCGGACAGTCATATAAGGATCGAAGCAGGAACCATCATCGGACAAAGCGCTCAGCTGCATAGAATATGGATGGGCCTTGGTTTTGGAAGTCGAGTCAACTGCAATTGGACTGAGCGACAGTTTCTTTAGCCTTGGTGGGAACTCGATCACTGCAATCAAGGCTGTGCTTCAGTCGAAAGGTGAGCATTAAACTGATGTTGAGATATGTTTGCAGCTGTAGTAGGCCCAAGCAGCCGGCTTGAAGGCATTCTAATAAAGTACCAACGATTGAGTAATTGACATTCTATACGTCTAAACAGAGCCTGCGTGTTTCTCGCCTGGAGGCACCGGCTCTATCTACTCTAGTTGTGCTCCCTGTATCTTATCGGCCGCGTGGCCTAATGGCTAAGGCGCTAGATTTCGGTTCACCGATTTCACCAATTCTCTAGAGATTCCAGGTTAGTTCATCGTTACACCAATTACATCTGCCCAACTAACGATCCCCATAGGTTCGACTCCTGGCGTGGTCGCATTTCTTTTTTCTTTTTTTGGTCTTTGTTTTAATTTTGGAACTCACCTTCTTGCTCTGTCTACTGCCTAGTTAACAAAGCGTTGGGGTCTGCTGGAGTCCCAGAGTCCTGACGTGAATTACAATGCCACCAGAAGTGCCATTTTTTTTCGTGATCTCCAGTACGTGACGCCTATCTCCAACGCAAAGAGGAGGCCTAGAACATCCCAGTTGCGGGGCCCAAAAGTAACGCAAGTCAAGATTGGGACGCCTCTTGATGCCTTGCTTTTAATTCTCATATTTGCGGTCTCGTGAGCCTGTGCCCCCTCGTAGTAAAAAGTAAAAATCGTGTGACTGCGAGGGAAATCTTTCACATGTTGGAGGCATGTACAGAGGCTGTAACAGATACCAGTCGCTGAGCGTTCGGTACTGGTGGATACAGCGTGGTCCTAATTCATACTAACCCATCGGATTCGACAATTGCAAAGTGCCATGTGAAAGGGCGTTCGGTCATACGCATAGGAATGGAACCTGGGAAATGGATCCTGCATTCCGCTCCCCACCTCGACACCAACATCACACAAGTCTCGTCCCGATTGCCCACATGCCATTCATACGACAAAGTCATGATTCCCCCACAGAATGCCGAATGCTCCTGTGCAGTTAGTCATTCGTGGGTGGACGTGTATCGGATGGTATCAGAATAGGGTAAGCTATCATTTCGCCAACCAGAGACTGTCAACAACAAGCCTCGCAATCGGTGCGCAATACGCCGTGAAACGAAGCTATAATCTTGGCAGCATAAAGTATACATCAGCTCAAATGACGATGAGAACGAATGCTCCAGAACTGGACTTCCCCTCAATGACGCGTTCCCTCTCTCACCTGCTAGAATGTGCTGCCAAGTCTCGGCCACCAATTGATTCACAGAGAGGGTGCATTAGACCATCTGAACTCCGTGACTTGACGGCCAATGCGCAGAAATGGCAGGTCGAGACCAATCATCTGCTAATCGTGGCTGCTTACGGGCTTCTGAAGGGAAACATACATGCACGCTACGAAGTACGAAAAAGCATAAGCATATTCGGACACGCATACAATAGAGCCATCGGGGAAGACTAAATTTCAGCTGATGGAGCCATCAGGCAGCATGTCTCAAACGTCCGCTATCTCTACCACACGCAGACCAGGCTGGGAGGCAATATCCTTCACGTTGCTTCTTCTCACACCGTCGTTACATTTCCCCGCACCTCGGGACTGCTTCTGCTGAGGCACATGTACACCTGGCTACACCGTCTCATATTTCTACGTTTCATTGAGCAGAGTGTACATACCGAGATAACACATAGCTAACTAGTGTTGAAGTTCATTGCATCTTCACCAATCATGTTGTGCCCATGACCGATTATTAGCTTACCGCATTGCACCTGCTGCCATATGGTACAACTGCCGAGACCAAATATGCGACGAATCACATTCTCACCGGTCACCTACCTGCACGAACGCTTACCGGGCACCAGCCGGGCACCAGAAGGAACATTTGAGCTGCCAATTATCTTTGATGTCACAACTGCGGTGTGACGACGTTGTGGTGAATTGTGACATGTTCTAGACCTAACGGTGCGGACACTGCTCCTCTGTGGCACCAAATGACCGTGGCTTGTGTTCTCGGCCCTCGGCGTGCAGCGTGATCAGCATGATGACGTGCCCGTATTCAGCCATGCAGTTCAGCTCTACAGGCCGAGACGAATCTATTGAATGCGGTTGAAAGTAGGGCAGTCTTTGACTGAAGGACTAACTCCTCATCTCCGCCTATGACAAGTATTCGTGCGGATATGTCTATAAAGCCCCGCCTGCTCACCTTGATTGACCATTATCTTCACTCTTCATTCAAACCATACAAGATTCAGGTCTTAAAACATCAGTACTCTGGCTTCTTTGACAATCTTAAACCGTGGATCAACTACCCAGCCAGTGGTGCGGAACACCCTTCAATCCCAGCGCCATGAGTTCTACCGGACGTTCCACCAAGGAGATCATCCTCAACACTGTCGCTGAGACACTCGGGAAGGACGCCCTTGAAACAGTCCAGCCTACTGATTTCCCCGACGCAAAGCCTACCAAGGCCACTCTTAAGGAGGTGCCGACTTGCATCACTCAGACGGATGCTCCTGTCAACCTCCGCAATGGCCCTGTGGACATCTTCGTCGGCCTCGACAAAGAATGCCCTCGATGGGACCCTGGCTCCGTCGTCAAGTGGGCGGCCTGGCGACAAGGGTTTAAAAGCCAAGAAGACGCCGACCTTGCTGCCCTGCACCTTGCCACGGCAACCGAGCAGTGGAACAAAGCCAACGTCGGTGTTACCTTTGAGTGGGTTCCGCTGGCCGAGGACGCAACTTTTGTCCTATGCCATGGTGGTGCTAAGGGGGGCGTTTTGGCCTCTGCATTCTTCCCCAACGCGAACGACCTGAACTACCTGTACGTCTACACCGCGGCGTTCCAGCAGCCGTACAAGAACAACATGTGGCAGATCTTCACTCATGAGCTTGGCCACGTTCTGGGTCTGAGACATGAATTCGCCGTTGACGGGATTCGGGATCGCGGAATTGCTCCCGAAGAATTCGGCGCCGTCCAGCTGGGTCGCCGAGACGAGCTTTCCGTCATGAATTACCGTGACGAGCTGCCTGAGCTGCAGCGGTCTGACATTAAGTCTACGAAGCTTTTCTACTCCCTGCCCAGCAATGCCAAGGTCGGCAGGACCCCAGTGGCTGATTACACCCCACGTTGATGGGTGTAAGGGGTGTCTCCGGGCGTTTTGCCAGGGAGTCAGATCTTGATCACGGATGTGAGTTGGTCAATTGCCGATGAGGATGCCTGTCAAATTAAGGATTCGGTGTGCAATGCTGAGGCTAAAGTTGCTGGTCGGGCCCTGGTTTCCTGGCACGGATTTCATAGGTAGTCCTCGTTTCGTATTTTGAATGATGGCTTACTATTGTGATAAAGTGTCATACTATGATGTTCGAGTGAAAACATAGGCCATTTAAACTCGCCGGGGGAGGACCAGATAATCGAGGGCGGGTGAATGAGAGCCAGTTTAGAACAGCAACCGTGAATGCGCCCGCGACAACCACAATGCCGCTGTCTGTAGTTTACGATATCAATATTTTGTCACTATTTCTGAAGACCATCCATACATAGAAAGTAGTGAGAATAAATACAAGACTCCTGGCACCATCCGAAATACTAAATTGAATCGACGAGCGTAAAACAGTGGAGACAGGTACGTACGCTCGTAGAGCACAGCCCCAAGCAGGGGCAGTCTTGAGTGTATAATCTAACCAATATGCATCTACCGGGGATGTGCGTGCGTGTTCAGATGAATGTTTCATCTAGCCAAATGTTGATTGTTCTCGAATACAACACGTCGATGAGCAGCTGTCCCACCCCAGCTATTGGAGGCGTTTAACAATGTCGACTATTGATGCCAATCCGATTAAATGGACTCGGGCGAAAGCACCTCGTGTCAGAACTGGCTGCAAGACATGGTACGTCAAGCTCCTGTCCTGGCGTCCATTGGTTAGGGGAAATCCGCTCACTCTGCATTGATAGCAAGTTCGTGACTCTGGCTCCGAAATTCTTTGTATCAATACTCATTCTGTGAAATAGAACCCGCCATCTCAAATGCGACGAAGGCAAACCGTCCTGCAAGCGATGCGACAAGGATGGCTACACATGTGATGGCTACGAACTCTTAGCTCGCAAGCCAAGAGCCAAGAAGCATAGTCTACCGGCCCAAGACAGCAAAATTCTTACAATCCGGCGTAAAGAACCGCACGCGCCGTTGATTTCTTCGGCTCCTGAATTGAATGCCGACATCTCTCCACTACCGACAGAGAGAGATCTGTTCTACCATTTTCGAACCTGCACTATGCAAGATCTTGAGACGGCATCGACTCCTACTGATTTCTGGTACTTCCACGTTCTTCCCCTCGCTCATGCTGTGGAGCCTATCAAGTATGCGATTTGCGCCCTTGGAGGTGTCCATAAACGCTTCAAGTCTCAAGCCATAGGATCGTCAGCAGGAGCCCTGGCCATTTGGGACCTAGAACGCGTTTCGATTGAGCAATATAACAAGGCGATCCATCACATCAAAGCATATTCACAACTATCCAACCTAAACACTGAGGCTATTCTCACATGCTGTGTTATCTTTATCTGCATTGAAACTCTCCTGGGTCGATACGTTGAGGCACTCCGTCACTTGCAATCGGGCTGTGCACTTCTTACCTCACTCCAAGAGTTATCATATGACGACACAGGCCTCACTCTGCGACAAGACCTGCAAGAGAAGACCAGGTTCTTCGACAGCATTGTTGCTATATTCTCTAAACTAGGGCAAGACATTACCTCTTACGTTGGATTTAACGTTATTCCAAAATTGTATCATTACGTCAATACTGGATTGGAAGCACCGGGTCCAATCATACCGTTCGAATCCGCCGCGGCGGCGGCAAACTCACTCTTCCACATTGATGTTGAATGGACGTCAAGGGCATATCTTCCGGTACGGCAGATCACAGACAACACCGCCGGGATAGGGTGGAAAACAGATCAATCATTACGCAGAAGCTCGGATAATAACTGGTCAAGCAAAGAAGGCTGCACGGAATCCATACCTCAGCTTTTCAAGATGTGGAGTCAGCGTTTCGATCTTTTCAAGGGCCAAGTTGATATGAAAGCTTTTCCAAGGCAGGATCAACATCAAGTCATGATTCTATCCATGGAACAAGAATGCTGGGCAGCCTTTTTAGAGCTCAATTCATTTGAAGAGACCATTCGACCTGAACGATGCGATCCGATATTGCAGAAAGCCGAACAACTGGTCCAATGCAAAGTTTTCGACGCGATCCCAACCTTTGTCTTTGACGCAAATTTGGTCCCCTCAATGGCTGTCATCTGCACTTCATGCCAAGACATTGATATTCAGAGGAGATGTATCCGCGTCTTGCGGTCTGTCAGGAG